TAAAGGACCCCGAGGAAACAAGGCCTTCTAGACACAGCTTTGCTGATGCCCACAGGAACTCACAGAAACTGTGGCAGCAGGCACAGGGCTTGCATGGGTCTGCACCAGCTGCGGTCACAGTGCTGACAGGGGAAGTGAACACAAGCCTCCATGACTAGCACAGATGCTGTCTCCAATTGATAACTGCTCTCAAATCAAAAATTAGGTTTCTGCAAGGAATTTCACTGAGCATCCAAACTACTCTTAAGGGCAGGCCCCATGTCCAGCACTAGATGGGCAACACAAAATGAACTCAATGGCATTTTTGGAGGTTATCTCATAATGCTTCCTCAGGGGCCTTTTAAAAAACAAAACAAAAAACAAACAAACAAAAGCTACCTTACAGGTCCTTATTATGGTTTCTGTGTTTTGAATGTTTCAGATTTCTGTGTGTGCAAATGTAGTATTTCTGCATGTAGGTGTTTCTTGAGCTTTTTCTTTGGCTTTTTTTTTCTTCTGTTTCTTTCTTTTGTCCTGTTGTTTGTTTTTATTTCATTTTATTATTAGCTAGATGCTGTGTGTATCCTAATGAGAGAGACAGAAAGGGTGTGGGTTTGAGTAGGTGGGTAGGTGGAGAGGATCAACAGGGAGTAGGGGGAGGGGAAGACATAAAGAGAGCGTATTATATTTTTAAAAGCCTGTATTGAACAAACATAATACCAACACAAAGGAACCAACACAAGGAGAGCTTGAATTTCAAAGTAGCTTTCCAGGCATAGGTTCTGCACATGGTCACTGCTGGAAGCTCTGCTGGGTGGCCCTTTCAGGGAGAGCACTGACAACCTACACAGTGATATGCTTCCCAATCAGGTCCCCCGCCTCCCATCCCCACAGCTGCTTAGCTGTGGATCTGTGCATGGTCCTCGTGAGAAATCTAAGCTTTGGGAGTAGGAGATGACAAACCCTGTCAATGTTTTCCTTGGTGTCTCAACTGTTTCTCAGGTGCATCAGTTTATGTTAAAATACTGCATGCATATCTCAGTTGGCTTATGAATTTGAGTGGAGAGGGAGGTTAGGAATTAAAGCCTGGTTTTGTTTTGTGTGTGGTTTTTCAAGACAGGGTTTCTCTGTACCTTGGGAGTCTGCCCTGAAACTCTATCTGTAGACCAGGCTGGCCTCAAACTCACAGAGATCCGCCTACCTCTGCTTCCCAAATGCTGGGATTAAAGGCTGGAATTAAAGAGGTTCAACACCAGCCTGGCCTTTAAACTAGGTTTTTTTCACATGCCAAACACTATACCGCACAGCAGCAACACCCCTAGCTTGAGGCACTGTAATAGCTTTTCCTAATAAGTAAACTGTATGGGAAAGTGCTGTACTTCAGAACTCAAAGCTGCACTGTAATCAAAACAACTTCTGAATGAGTTGAGAAAGGCTCATGTACCTTCCACAATAGCAGGACCCAAAGGTTTAAAACTGAAGTAAGTTTTAAAATAAATTTTATCATACACAACATCCAATACTAATACCTTTGATGATTTTTCTCCTTCCTTTTATGTCAATTCAGCTCACAATATAAAAGCACATTCTTAAATTATCATTGAGATACCCAAATTCTCAGTTACTATTACTACTGAAATTCAAGAGAAATGATTAACAGGAACAAGCTTAAGGAGAGCTCACAGTGATGGTGAGATGGCTGAGTGGTTGAAGAGGCTTGCCAGCAAGCCTGATGACCTGAGTTCAATCCCTGGGGCCAACACGGTAGATGAGGGAACTGATTTCAAGTTTTTCTTTAATCTCTATGCACATTTTTGTGGACAGACACAAATGCACACACAAATTAATAAATGTAATTGTTTTAGAAAAAGACAAGGTCTAACAGATGCTACTAAGCAAGATGAGTAGTTGTCTACAAATAGTGGTCTACCTAATGAAATCTCATGGATTTCTATCAGCTGCCTCATTTATAAAATGCAGTTAAAGAAGAAGAAAGGGAGTATGAAGGGCCAGTGTTGCTCAGCCATAGGGTGTGTGCCAGGTATGCAAGAGGTCCTAGGCTCAGTGCCCATGGCTGATCCTAAAATGAATGTGCAAAAGGACTTCATGACTCTACATGAGATCAAATTTTCAAACATCATCAACTGGACTAGAAACTGATACCAGTACAAATTGACTATCCATAAACAGACATAGGAAGCCCTTCAAAGTCAAGGTCTATTTTAATTTGGTAAGGAAATTGGTTTTCTAATCTTTCCATCTAAAAAAAAAAAAAAAAACCAAAAACCAAAATAAACAAAACAAAACCCAACCAACAAACAAATAAACCATAAAGAACTAGGGGTAGGTATATAGACCCTTACGAAAACACTTGTCCTCAATGTTAAAGTTCTCAGTTTCATCCTGTATTGTGACAAAACAAATGTAAAGGCAAGGGATGTGGCTCAGCTGGTAGAGTGCTTGCCAGAATACACAAAATCATGAGTTATATACCCCAAGCAGCACATAAACCTGTGACCCTAGTACTTAGGAGATAGAGACAAGAGAATCAGAAGTTCAAGGCTATTCTCTGCTACAAAGCTTTCATGTTCTGTTTGTGATCAAGTCACTTGGGGTCTCTTGAGATTGATAACCAGATGTTTGGCTCTTGCTATCAGCCTAGTGACAGAATTGCAAAGAAGACATGAAGCAAACCAGCAATTAATTATACATGGCTTACACAGCATGTGTGTGAGGCTAGTCTTCAGGAACCACAGGCTGTTGAAACAGCTGGAGACAGTGAAGACCTGACACTCAACAGCTTCCTGAATGAGGCATTTACAAATACTTACAATCTAATATACAGGTTAACTACATGGAAGCATCCGGGACTTCAAAAAGGGAAACCCTAACCCCCTAAGAATCCACCTTTGGTAATCTTAAGTCCTTCATGCTTGATTGATAAAAGCCAAGTGGGATATTGTAATTTTTTATACTTATTTGTCATTGGGGGGCATAGTACAGTGGAGTCCAGAGTACAACTTGTTGGTTCTTGCTTTCTACCATGTGGGTCTTAGAGATGTAACTCGAGTAATCAGGCTTAGTGGCAAGCATCTATATTCACTGGCTATAGCCCTGACCCCTGAAAAGGCAGTTTTCAAATCTAACTCATGTTTTTTGTTAGTATTAAGCAAAAATGACAGACCCATATGATGATCTGGTCTGTGCTTCCCTAGGGAGTAAGATTATTTTAGTTACAAAAAAAAAAAAAAAAATTGTGCTTACCCCTGAATAGTCCACATGTAAGCAAAGACAAACAAAAGTTAAAACAAAGAAGGGCTGGAGAGATACTCAGAGGTTACGACACTGGCTGCTCTAACAGAGGACTAGAGTTCAGGTCCCAGCATGTACATTGAACAGCTCACAGCTGGCTATAATTCCACTTCCAGGGGATCTGATGCTTTCTTCTGGACTCCCTTGGGCACTAGCATGCACATGTGCATAGAAACACACACACACACACACAAACACACACACAATCTCTCTCTCTCTCTCTCTCTCTCTCTCTCTGTCTCTCCACAATTTAAAAAACTTTTAAAAGAAAACACAAGGACACCTCCAAAAATAAATGCCATACAAATGGAATTTTTTTTTATTTGTTTCTTTTTGAGATATGCTCTCTCACACTATAGCCCTGGTTGGCCTAGAACTTGCTAGGTAGACCAGATGGCCTCACACTCACAGAGATCCTCCTGTCTCTGTCTCCTGAATGCTGAGATTAAAGATATGTACTACCATAGTGAGCACAAATGAATTTTTAATTGATACTTTAAGCTACTCAAAAACAAAATCTCTTATTTTCACAATACACTAAATATTATCTATGAGAGCACCCAACCTCAGAAGACATGTAGCTCACATAATAGAATGGATAGTAACATGAGTTTTGTTCATGAGATGGCTACTTCAAGACATTAATATCTCTATTTCTCAAAGCCAGTATTTTCTTACACATCCATTTCACAATTCATTTAATTATTTTACAATCATTCGTAAAGATATATTTTCTAAGAGGCTAGCCTGTGCTCCAGTTAATAACAAATGATGATAAAATAATCAATGGAGTTGAATCATTTGCTACCAAGTAGTCCCATCAGATTCTTTATCATTTACACAGCTACTGCTAAAATCAAGACCACTACCACCGTTAATGATGACACTCTCAAGTTTGATATGCCTATGAACCATTAATGAGATGTATGTTCAAGCTCAAACATTAGAACTTCGTTTTCTTTAAAAATTTAGAAAGATAACTTGCTTACTGAAACTGATTTTAGCTGGAAATTTATAAAAACAGAAGTACCTTTTTTAAAATTGTTAGTAACACAGTAAACATAGATGCTTTTCAAATTGTGATGGCATTAAAATTCTATTTTAGAGATTCTAGACTTTTTAAACATTGAGTAATGTCATGGCAGTGATACTGAGAGTCATCCCTATGAATCAATCTGGCTGTTCATCCGAGCTATCAAGACTGTTCTTTAGGGTAAGGAATACAAACCCACGCTCCTTTTGGGACATTTATAAGTAATCCATTTTGGATGTGGATAAACCCCAACTTCTAAATTCTCATCTACAAAAAGAGACCAAAGCATACTACCTCACAGCAGACAACCTGATAAAGAGGTGCTAGCCTGCTGCAATAAAGTTTATATGCAATTAGTGATTATTAGAAATGCCAAGATAGAAGGTGGGCTGGGCAGGGGTTAAAGGTGCTTGCTACCAAAACCAAAGTGACCTGAGTTGGATTTCAAGGAACCACATAACGAAGAGAACTGATTCCTACAAGTTGTCATCTGATCTCCACATGCACCATGGAACTCACTGCCAAATAAAAAAGTGAAAACAAATTCTTTAAATGCAAAAAAAAAAAAAAAGAAAAAAATTCACATTGGAAATAGTCATCATGCAAAATTATAGAGTTTTGATCCTTAAGGATAGATCAAGCAGTTTTGGTTTTTGCATTAAGTAATCAAGACAAATAGTAGAAAAAGCATTTTATTTATATGGAAAAAGCTACAGTCAGATCTGTAAAAGGTGTCAATATAATATTGCCTATACAGAAAAAAAATTCAAATGTGAAGAGCAACAACAACAAAAAAAGTGACACACCTTCCTACTTAGCAGTGCAATTAATTCACATTGCAATAAAGTTAAGTCAAGTACAATAAAACCAAAACAAGTGTTTCTCCATTCTAATCAATATACTGAGAAAAACAGTGTGAAGATCAGTTCTGGTTCAAGAAATATGCATTCAACCCACATAATATCCTAAGACAAGGGGCACAGTTAATTCATCATCAGCTGTTGGGGGCTTCAATACTGTTCACAGGGGAAAAAAAGTCATGAGCTGACATAGAATATATTTAGTCTATACAGTAAAAAAATACAAATTATAAAGTGAGCTAACAAAGAATGAAATCTGAATTCAGATTTATAAAAGTGACAACATCTTGGACAACACATACAGTGTTTCTCATGTAAAAAAATCATCTGGTTGCTTCTCACTCACGTTGAAGACTTTGCTTTGAAGATGCGGGTGTCCAAGCGTCTCAGAAACCAAAATGAATGTCCTCCTCAAGGAGCACAAAATGCTAAATGCTCTCCGCATAGTTTCAAGGGTAGCTTTGGAGGTTTGTTCTGTCTTGCTTCAGAAACACATTTAAAATGAGTAAAAACCAAAGGGTTCATGGAACAAAAGAGACAGCAAACGGCACTCAACTTACTGCTAATGTTGAAAAAGACATAGATTTTACAGTACTCTGGCATAAGTGAAAGTGGTTTAAAACATTACATTGCATATTTCTGAGTCCATTCTCTTGCGTGCCTGTTGTATCTGTAGGCATATAAAAAGAGAGAGAGAGAGAGAGTAAAACCACACGTTTAGCCTGCACCGCTCTCTGTCCAGAATTGGGTCTTCTACCTCCTCACTCTGACCACCATGCCTTCCCCTGTCACTGGGTCGAGGTAACACAAACACATGCCAACGTAAAAGCAAAAACAAATAACTTTTAAATTCCTAGATTCCTCAAAAAACAAACAAACAAAACACAAAAATCCAAGAGACAAAAAACCAACTTCAAATAGAAATCTATAGAAGCCAAGCCTGAGGTAGGACTATCCTGCACCAGGTGGATGAAGCAGCTAGAAGAGAAGGTCAGTGTGGGTGGGCAGAAAAATAACTTCTCTTTCTAGAAGATAGGGAAACAATGCCCTGTGCTTCCCAGTGATGAAAGCATTCCATGATTAATTTACAAGCTAGAAATGATGAGGACACAGCACAGAGGATATGTACTACTAAACGCTGGCCCAGAAAGAGATTTCTGTTTTTGTTTTCAGGACAGTTTTAAAAACACTTCTGGGGGGGGGGGCAGCTTACACAGAGTTAATTGTACGTCACATGTCATACATAGGCAGCAAACTATTTTGAAATGCACGCAACAGAAAGTGTACAGCAGGACACACTTACTTTTCTTTGTCTGATTTATAGATCTGTGCAATATCTGGTACTAAAGGATCGTCTGGGTTAGGATCACAGAGCAGCGAGCATATGGACAACAACACTAGATTGGAGAAAAAACAACAACAACAACATTCCATTAGGTGATGACATTGTTGCTTTATAAACTTACCCACCTGAAAACAACTGCACTGAATATAAAGAAAATGAAGGAGGAGAGGAACACACAGAGGCAAGCGCAGAGCTCAGGGGCAGGTGGCTTGCCAAGCAAAAAAACAAAACAAAATAAAAACACCCAGCACTGTAAGATATAAAAGCCACATTTTATATTAACTTCAGTTGGGGGGGGTAAATATTATTTTCTAAAGTAATGAAATTCTTATTTTTGACATTTTAAATTCTAACTAACTTATTATGTTTACTTAAAACTGTGTATCATCCAAAGTAGTTGTTGGCAATCTTTCAATTCAAGAACGTGTGTGTGTGCACATGTATACATACGCGCATGCGCGTGCGTGCACCTGCCTGTCTGTCCATGAAATATAAGGTCTTTTTCCAACAAATCTTTCATTCCTTACACCTCATATTTAATTATGTTCATTTACAAACAACATGAACACCCATCTCTGTTTAAGTTGTATGTTTTAAAAGATAAATAGAAACTGTAAGGTATCTGTTAGTATACTATGTCAAAACTACTAATGCAAATAGGTACACATAAAAAAAAAAAAAAACAAAAAAAAACTATTCTAGGAGGCCAGTCTTGTCTACAGAAGAAACCCTGTTCTGGGGATGGGGGATGGTGGTGGGGACCTATGCCATTCAGAGAAGCACATGCCAGTAATCCCAGCACTAGAGAGACTAAGGCATGACAAACTGCCAACTGGACACCAGCCTGGTCTACATAGTGAGACCTTGTCCTAAAAGCAAAACCAAACCCCACTTGCTTCACATGTGTCTGGTCCATCCATGGAGCCTCATGGAAGCATCTCCCACTCCCTGACCACCCTCCTCTGCTGTGTTCTTTCCAGTTTACAGGTGAATTAGAGCAAAGTAGACTTTTAAATGACAAGGAGAAGGAGCAATGAGAACGAAGGGGAAACAATGTGTATTTTCCTCACCCTGCCCCATGAGACTTAGGCCTTATATAGTAAATCAAATCTCTTTCAGGGCCCCCTTGTACATCCAGACTAAACTCACGGCAAAGGTCAACCAAGGCCTTTACATACAGAAAAGTGAAAAGTGTACCAACAGGTGTGAGAGGTCTGAGCTATCTCCTAGTGTGGACAAGAGTCAAGTTTCCCAATCTCCCCACTCCTGCTGCCAGGAACCATCTGCCTCCCATTTCACTATCACAAACTAAAGCAAATGGTCAATGAGAAGGAGGAAGGTGACAGAGGTGTCCATCCCAGTGCTTTCCATCACCAGGAGCACAGCAGCCAAGTTTGGTAATTCTGTCACAATCCTGTAATGTAACGAGACTGGAGCAGTTCATGTTCCTAGGCTAACAATACCAATTAATTTTCATAAAAAGCCATAGCATCAGCACATAGGCACTGAGTACCTGGCAGCCAGCCATTTCTTTAAGTGAGAAGAACTTAGCAGCTTATGGAAAACGAAAGCCATTTTGTGACACCATTCTAAGAAGAACTATAGTAATCTGAATAAATATAGACAGAAGTTTTCCTTTATTCACTTTATCGTAAGTTCGCTGCTGAAAAAATTATTATTATTATTTTTATTTTTTTTTCAAACAGGGTTTCTCTGTATTGCTTTAGATGCTGCCCTGGAACTAGCTCTGTAGATCAGGCTGCCTCAAACTCACAGAGATCCACCTGCCTCTGCCTCCCAAGTGCTGGGGTTAAAGGTGTGTGCCATCACCACCGCCCAGCCCACTGCTGACATTTTATGAAAGGATTCTATATGACCATCTTAGGTCAGGAAAATGACCAGTTGTAAATAATCGATCAGGACGTCTTTGGCTTTACCTAAGACTTGAAACAATTGTGGCTGTGACTCCTGCTTCTGGTAAGATCATCCCTTTGAATAACGGGCTATAGGGTTGAGATACAGTTCCATTGATAGAGCGCTTGCCTAGCATGCACAGGTCCCTGGGTTCCATCCCCAGCATCTAATAAAACCAGACATGGAGGCTCATGCCTGTCACACTCAGCACTCAGGACATAGAGGCAAAAGAATCAGGAGTTCAAAGCCTCATGAGATATGCAAGGAAAAAACCTGACTTGAATTTATAAAAAATGGAAAATATGGTAGCTACTTGCAGGGCAGATGTGTGTAACCCAAACAGTTTCTTCCAGTTGCCAAGTTCTGTTTATTAAGACACAAAGCAAGAACTGCTGGTACAGTATACACCAATGGCCAAGGAATGGAACCATATTGGTTTGTCAGGATCCATGAATGCGGCTGACAGGTCAGCAAAGAACAAGGTGATAACGTTTCTGAAGGATGAGCACCAGCATGGGTCAAGGTATCAATCATGGAGTTGCAGATTATTTAAGCTAGACATGGACGCTATCTGAGCAGCATCACTCTGCAGGACCTTTCCTTTTTAACTGCTTATTTGTCAGCCAGTCCTGAAAGTTGTCCTTTTTATTGTCAAGAGACACTTTAATGAAAGGGATAAATCCCTAAATCTGTTTGCCACACCCCCTCCACCCCCCACCCGCATCCTTTTGAACAACAAAACTTTTTACTGGCATTACTTTTACTTCTTTTGAAAGGACAGAAGGGCAGTTATCCATAGGCTTAACATAAAATTTCTAACTCTAGCAATTTTTAAATTTGGATTTATTTTCTAGTTTTCAGTGTGTTTGTGTGTGTGTGTGTGTGTGTGTGTGTGTGTGTGTGTGTGTGTGTGTGAGAGAGAGAGAGAGAGAGAGAGAGAAATGTGTATGTGTGGTAGGGGATGTCCTTTTGTATATATGTTTCTCTTATTGACCTATGAACAAAACACTGTTTGGCTGATGACTAGGGCTTCTTATTGGCTATCTCTGTCTTAATTATTAATTCATAACTACTAATCTATATATTTATACATGAACTTAACTTAGCATGGAACACCTGGCTTGTCCTATTCTACTGGTCTCTACATGGTGTCTCTTGCAGTCTCTCTCTGCCTACCTTTCCCAGAATCCTCCTCTCTCCTAGTCCTACCTATCTTCCTGTCTCTATTGGCCAAATAGTGTTTTATTCATCAACCAATAAAAAGAAACATATATACAGAAGGACATCCCCCATAACATGTGAGTGCAATTGCCCTTGGAGGCCGGAAGAGGGCGTTGGGTCCCCTGGAGCTGGAGTAACAGGTAGCTGTGAGCTGCCCAACTCAGGTGCCAAAAACCTATCTCAGGTCCTTTGCAATAGCAGTATGTACTTTCAGCCTTTGAGCCTTTTCTCCAGCCCTTAGTTCAAGTTTTTTGAATCTCTGATTTTGTTCAAATTTGCCCATCCACTCATTTCTCCCAGCCCCAGAGTTTACTAAAAGCCAGAGTGACTCTAGAGTTAGTAGAGAAAGAAAAACGAAGATAGGAGAAAGCACAGAGGATTGAGGCATTGGTTTTGTTTGCCCAAGTCTCGGCTTTTGTTTAAACTCTGGTCCCTAGACATTGTACAATCCTCCCGTGACTATTTTAAATCTGATAAATGAAATTACCTTTCGATACAGTCAAAGCTGGTGACCACTGGGACCGCAGAATGTCCAGACAGATACTTCCATTACTGTTTATATTTGGGTGGTAGATTTTTGTTGTGAAAGCAATCTACACATAAAACAGAACAAAAGAGGTTGATCATTGCGCACTGTGAACAAGCAGAACCTATCCACTCAAGAGAGAAAGTGCTTAACTTTACACAGCTTTGGAACAGAAATATCTACATGCGGCTCAGCTACTGGGGATTTGAAGGCGACTAGCTCAGTTTAACCTTTTCTCCTCCAGATGTTGGGAAGTCTCTGGGGTAGAATGAGGATGTCTGCAATAGTTGGTGTGACTGGCTGAGTAGCATCTGGACCAATTGCTCTGGCTTTCATCATTCCTCCAAATACTCCTCTTAACCCACCTGTGAATAATACCCAGCAGGCCACCTGTATCTACAAACAAACAGGTCACTGAGTCCATCAGAGCAGAAGTGAGATGCCTCAGCTGATCACCTGTCCTGTAAAACCCACTGAGTATCTGAATCTCAACAAGAGCCACTGTCGTCTGATGTTATCCATATGATTTTAAACTCAGTGTTTTAAAAACGCTACAGTTATTTCCCTAGCAGCAAATATATGTTTGTTTTCCCTCCTTCACACCCCCCATCACACTTGTTTCTTCTTTGGACTTTAAACCCCGGAGAATGTGTTTTCATCCCCTTCTGCCATTCAGTGTGCTTCCTTCCTGGCTCCCATTGTGAGGGGACATGGTGGGCGGCCAATGTATGTTCACTGAATACTTCAAGAAAGAAAACAGGGTCCTTTTTGGAAGGTAACACTGTGGATAGGAAAGCCTGATTCCCAGACTATAAAAACATTCCAGACTACATATATCTCATAAGAAGGAAAGGCCCATGAGCCTAACTTGTAGCCAATGCAACTTTTTGCTTAACAGGCAAAGGAAACTACTTGATTAAGAAAGAATATTTTAGACTGGCAGTGGTGGTGCATTCCTTCAATCCCAGCACTCACTCCTACATGCCCACAGTCTGTGATATCATAAGCCCATCTCTAGACAGAGAGAACCCCTGCTGTGGGACACAGCAGTCACAGGAATAAATACCTTTGGTGGTTTGAAGGGATAGTCTGTCGGGAAGTGGACAGTGAGGAAGAATACTCCGCCTTGATATGCACTGTCAGGCTGCAATGAACAACAGGGCATGTCAGTGTCCGGCCACAACATGCACACAAGTCTGGATGTTCCCCCAGGTGTGAACAGTGCAAAAGAGAGGGCCAAGTCTTCTACACAATGCTGTCATATCAGCTTGTAGAAAACAAAACCACGTAATCCTTGCACCAGACGTTTGAGTAATTTACCTGAGAGCATGCTCCTTTCCAGGAATGAAGTTTTCTGAGGTGCCCACAGAGTTTAAAGAGAAACAGACATGCATAGCAGCATGCTTTAACCAAACAGATCATTTATGGGGACCAGTGTAGACACGAGGACTGCTGTGAGGGAAGATAACTTTCTAGAGCACTGAGCAGTATTTTTTAAAGGTTATGCCTAATATTTACCTTTTTTTCATTTCCAGTGTCCCCTTAAGTATGACCAAAGGGAATAATTTAGTAAGAGGATTAAGTGGCACCATCACACAATTTACCCCCAATATTCAATTGCCAAGCTGGATGAATTCAGTATTCATGATATATTAAATTAAGTATCATCAAGGTTGGTCACCACCTAAGTAGCCATAAGGCAAATAACAGGTGCACGTGCAAAATATTCAGAGGTTAATCTTATCACAGACACACACACACACACACACACACACAGGAAAGATTAAAGGAAAGGAAACAGTAGCAAAATAAAATACCCCAAATTCTATTTTAATTCCTTCATATTTACTGAACTGCATCATGGGCAATAAAAGCAACTCTGCCATTCTTTCCCTGCTTAAAGTTCTGTACAAAGATTAGAGCATTGTATTATATAATTATTCTTACTAAGCTGCTTAATTCTAGTTTGGTAAATGTAAAAAAAGCATAAACAAATTATGAAGATAAGCATGGTCTACGTGGACGGTCAAGTGCTATTGTATAGAGTGGTGGAGTGTGTTTATGGTACTGAAATAACAGAGGTGTGCAAAACAACATTACAATTGAAGACTACACATGAGTCACCTGAGAAGTACCATGGACGCCCCAGCTCCGACAGTAAGGCATGCCTTTAGATGGTGGGACTTTCAAGGTTCGGAGCAGATAAGCTGATAATGAACACCAAGCAGAAGGAACTAGCTTCTTATGGAAAGCTATTAGGTAAATATGTTGCATTTTCCCCTCTCACATAACAACTTAATAGAATGATTTAGTCATTTAGGATAATTCCTCAGAGACTTTTCTTTGAAATTCAGCGTATTTTTTTTTTTTTTTTCAGCTTGGATATGAGGGCAAAAGATTGAAAATTGCATGACTCAGTAGATAAGGTGCCCTAGGGGAAGTATGTATGGCATTCAGAAAAGCTATTGCTGGTGCGTTCTCATCCAGAAATGAGACTGGAGTGGTGTGCTTGCCTGCTCTTTCACAATTAGCATTTTGTTCATAGAAAGAAAAGCCTATTTCAAGCCATCAATTCTCCTCGGGTTTAGGAAGGAATACAGATAACAAACAAGGGCCAGTTTAAGGCATCAAAGCAAACGCAAAAGGTGACAAAGACCACCCACAATGGGACTCCTCCACTTCTGCAACCGAGAACTATGACGAGACCTACTGCAAGCTGACATTTGCCCAATTAGCTGAGTCAGACTTATTTCAAAACTATGAAAACTGTGGATTTGTGAGGAAGACTCCACTTCCTTTAAAAACAGTTGATGTGGGCTGGATAGATGGCTCAGAGGTTAAGAGCACTGACTGCTCTTCCAGAGGTCCTGAGTTCAATTCCCAGCACCCACATGGTGGCTCTCAAACAACCATCTGTAATGAGATTTGTCATTGTATATATAATAAGAAAAACACTTGATGCTGTATTTAAAAAAAATTAATAAGGCCAACACAGACTACTTGCTCAGAGAGTGTGACTTTGCTATGTAATGGGGAGGTATGAGCACAGGAAAATATCCCTGTGACCCAGCAGGTATTTGCCAGCCGTACTTTAGAAAAAAAACCACTGCAAACCTGCCATCATGTTTTGCTTCATGAATGATTCAGAGGATGAGAGTATTCAACCTGAGTCATAAACATCTGCTCACAGGTCAAAAGGCAAGCGTGAAGAGTGGCCATGGTGTGAGGGGTAGGGAGGGTGTTAGTCCACCCGTGTGAGTTGTACTTACGGGCCCCATGATGGTTGCTTGCCAGTGGAACACTGAAACACAGAGAAACAGTAGTCACTTACAGCTGCTCACAGCCATACCCTTTCAATGGTAGAAAAACCTAGCAGCAGAGTAAACTTACAGTCATCTCCTACCGGTCCCGCTGAGCAATGAGCAGGTGGGTCACGCTGTAAATCACTTAATTCCTGAAGAAAAGCAGAAAATACTTGCAGTTAATCCTCCCCTTTTCAAGGAAACAGGCACTAAGAACCCAGAAAGAGACAGGCTAGTGATGTTTCTTCAAATATTTTAGGTTAATTCTGCTCACCATGGACTCAGCCACTGAACTCTTGTATGAGATAGCGCCAGCCACTGAAGAGATTAAGCAGAATAAAACAGTGTTTTCTGCCAGGCAGTGGTGGCACACACCTTTAATTCCAGCGCTCTGGTGGCAGAGGCAAGCAGATCTCTGTGAGTTTGAGGCCAGCCTGGTCTACAGAGCGAGTTCTAGGATGGGCTCCAAAGCTACAGAGAAGAAACCCTCTCTCAAAAAAAAAAAAAAAAAAAAAAAAAAAACCAACAACAACAAAACCAAACCAATGTTTCCTTTAAGATTCCTAATACAAAAGCAATTCATTAGCACCTCCTTATGCAAGATTGTATATGTCATTGCCATGCAGGTGACATCAACATAAGTCCTGGCTAGCATTGTAACCCATGCATGAGCTCCCCAGGTTTCATTTCCAGCCCCCTAAAAATAAGGTTCCACTTCCAGTAAGTTAAAATCTAATGAGGTAGAGTGAAGGCTTGGGAAGATGGATACTTAAGGAGTGACTTGAAGGATCTATGCATAGGATCTGTTCAGAAAATGCTTACTGCACAAGTACAGGGACCCAAGTTCAGTCCCCAGCAGGATGTGAAAAATCAAGTGCAGTGATATAAGCCCATAATCCCAGCACTGGTGACAGAGACTGGAGGATCCTCAGGGTTTGTGGGCCCCCAGCAGACTGAATTGGCAAGTTCCAGGTTCAGTGCAAGAGCCTGTCTCAAGAACAACATGGAAAGCAATTGAGGAAGACACTTGCCACCAAACAACGTCTGGCCTCCAAACACCCACACATGCATGTGGCAAACCCACAAGTATATACATAACATATGAATACAAAGTAGAAGGTAGTCAGGCCACGTTCTGAAACCTACAATATTGATTCATGGGCCCTTCTTTATCCTCAAGGTTTTGAAGGAAAGGCCAAAGGCCAAAAGCATGGCCCAGAATCCCAAATATAAGTGGCTCTATACGCTGAGGAAGTCACTTAACCTCCCTAGCCTTGGTTCAAAAAGAACTGACCTTCCCCAAATGAGAAAGGTATGACTTCAGTCTTCTGGCCTCCACATTCTGGCATTCATGTGTGCAGACAGACAGACAGACAGACAGACAGACCCCCCCCACACACACACGTAATTAAAGATGAATCTTAAAGAGAAAAACAGTATCAGAGACCATTCAGGCTGGGGATGTAACTCAGGGTCAGAATATCTATCTGCCTACCATGTGAAAGCCCTGGGCTCCATCCTTACTACTATACAGAGAAAAGATTATCCCCGAAGAACCCACTCTAGTTTGGAAGATCAGAGATGGTCTATCCCTAATGAAGTCAGTGAGGCTGAGCCATAAGGGTGAGCAGGAGTTGGCAATGAGTGGGTGGAGTGATGTGACATGAGCCTGAGAAGGCATGTGGAGGCCAGACAGCAAAGAACACACACCCCACAAAAAAACACCATGTTATACAAAGTGCATGGAGATGGTTTTTAAGAAGTAGAGAACTCTATGTAATTGAGTGTCTTTTTTTTCTTTTTCTTTGGTTTTTGTTTGTTTGTTTGCTTGCTTGCTTTTGTTTCTTTCCAAGACAGGGTTTCTCTGTGTAACCTTGGAGGCTGCCTGGAACTAGCTCTTATAGACCAGGCTGGTCTCGAACTCACAGAGATCCACCTGCCTTTACCTCCTAAGTGCTGGGACTAAAGGCGTGCACCATCACTGCCTGGCCTTATTATTATTATTATTATTATTAAGTTTTTTTTTTAAGAGAAAGGGCAGGATCTGGTCAGAGTTGTGGGGTGGGGAGGAGTATGATAAAAACATCCTACACGAGATTCTCAAAGAATAAAAAGAAGCAGCATGCTGATTTAAAGGGTGCTTCCATGTCAAGAGATAAGGCAAAAGGGCAATCTGCAAGACTCTGGGTAAGATGGGGGAGGAGGTGTAGGGGCTAAATGTGGAGGAGTGGCAGGGAGACACGAGGTACTGGCCTAGGACACTCTGGGGGTTTCCCTACCTCAGGATCTGTAAGAACAAAGTAAGGAGAGTCCACCAAACATGATGTGTAAGATAATGACATGGGGGCAGCTGAGGGTTCTATGGTCTCTGTCATCTTGACCATCTTCAGAGATTGATCTCGGCAGATTCTCCTGTTCTACAGATGAAAAGCAAGATACCATGCAATCTTCTAACCCGGACAGCCCGACTTCTCATTTCCTAGTTTTATAGATGTGCAAATAAAGATTGGTTCACTGAAGTAGGGAAATCTAGAAGACAGGGTGGTGAGGAGAGTGGCTAGGTTGAATCTATGAGTCCTGTGACAGCAACAACATCTCAGGGGAAAGATGTGAGGCCGAATCGCACATTTCACCAACTCCAAAATGCCCCCACCTGTAGATCATCTGACTTTCTGCACCAATAATCAAAGAAAGATGATGGCAGTTAACATTAAGACACTACCAATTATGTGTCTACACCAGAAATACTAAAGCCTGAAAGATGTCAGCTCATGACGGTGGCAAAACAGTAACGATCGCCATCAATTCGGTGTTCTAATTAAGATGAGGAAAAAGATATGACCTGATGTGTGGCTGGGAGCCCAGTGCAAGCCCAGAGGCCTCCTTTCAAGCCCATGTCCCTTCGGTGCCCACTGCTACTTTCGTTTCTATTTTTTTCTTGGTCAGCTCTTCTGTTGCTTCACAGACAGTTAAGCAACAGGAGATTCCAGTCTTCTGCTTTAACCTTATATTGAAAAAAGCAAGGCGTTGACCGTTCAGCCTGGGCACCTCCTCTCACCTACCTGGTGACCATGGGAAATGACTTCCGCCTTCCAGGTGTTGTTAAAATACAGTGTGACGGTTCTGTTTCATCTACAGTTTCCATGACAACTGCGGGACATGCTGCAGGTCAAGTGTGCAGCAGGGTCTCCCAAGCCCATAGCAAACATCCCCAATAAATGTTGAGACAATATGGAAGTAGTGCTTGCCAAGTCTCTGGCAGCAAAAGATAATGGTTTAAACCAGCATGAGTGAGTGGGAGAGGAGGTGTTCCCAGTTACAGCACCATTACAGAAGGATTGCCTTCTGACCTGCTTTTCCTAAGTTGGGCTTTGGGAAGTGCTTTTAAAATTAGTTGTAGAGTCATCTTCTAACAGCATTAATGTATCCAAACACCCTCATTTCAAAGACAAGCCCTGCCTAGCCTGGAACTCATTATGTAAACGCTTTGAACTCACAGAGAGCAGCCTGCTTCTGCCTCTTAAATGCTGGGATTAAAGGCATGAGCCAACCTGCCTAGCTCTAAACATTAATGTAAATAGTACTTGTTTGCATTCATTTTGACTAGTTAACCAGAAAAATGTAGTCTCTAGCTATGGCTTAAAAACTATTAATGCTCTGCATGTACACATTTGCATTGTGATAATGTGCACAAGAATAAATCAGATGTAGATACAAATGCACACTTGTTTATTAACAAGACAAGTCAAAACCATATTTTAGCTTCGATAGCCTTGAAATTATTCAAATCTCAAATCTCAAATGTCAAGCTGTTCTTCAAATCTCTTTAAAGTACTACATTTAAGAGAGATTATTTTCTCATTTTCTTTTTAAATGTCCTGATTCCACTTCCTCTTTCAAAGGGGGAGGGTGATGGATGAGAGGAATAAAGAAAGAACCTAACAAATAAATTCTGCAAAGGGCAGGTTCTTAAGGTGTCTATGGAAAGCTCACCCACTGTAACAGAGAGAGAGAGGGAGCCAACAGAACATTAATCAGCCTTCACTCTGCCCTGCTGGGCTGACAGGGAATATGCCAGCATGGTGCACAGTTCAGGCAGAATGAACAACAGACAGGAAGGCTGCAATACACACGTTCCTCCCTCACCTGCAAAAATACAGATCTTAAATGCAGAATAGAAAAATGAGGAGACTTAGGAAATTCTGAGATGAACTAATTATAAAGTTATGAATATGCAGTCCATGAAAACTGCATCCAAACACACCAAAAATCCACCTTTATCAAAGTCAGCTCGCAGTCAAGGTCATTCTAGGGGACACAAGAAGTCAAGAGTCACTCAGCCATCTGCTCTTTCCAAACTCCCTTACAATCTGAGTGGTTCTTTGTCTGCTTTAACCGACATTGTTACACGCCTACTTCTAGCGTATCACATATTTGATAGTAAAAATAATTTATTGAAATAAATCAAGTTTAATCACCTAATTACTCAACTACTCAGTCATTGTAAAATAATCATTTAACAGCAATCAGAAGATTCTATTATAATAATATGAACCTCCTTTACCTTTTGCAGCCCTCTTAAATGCAGTAATGATATTAGTGTTGCATTTGTATACTAACAGCTGATTTTCATCTGAACTTTTCACCAAAGAAATACATCAATTTCACTTCACTTGTATTTATCAATTGGGGCATACACATTCCATTAATGTGAAAATAAAATACCAACTTCAATCCACACAGTAAGATGCTTCCCACTTATTTGTTTCTTTTCAAACTATTTGCATGGTCTGCAATGCCAGACACTGAGTGCTCAGTGTTAATTTCATTGTAACACTCGTGTGTATTTGGATTTTTAGTTTCACCTTATTCTAGTAGGTCAATAGAAAATATCTAATTTTGAGGGGGCCCGGATAGCTCAGTTGGTAGAGCATCAGACTTTTGCTGGACGGTGGTGGCACACGCCTTTTATCCCAGCACTAGGGAGGCATAGGCAGGCAGTTCTCTGAGTTCGAGACCAGCCTGGTCTACAAGAGCTAGTTCCAGGACTGCTTCCAAAGCTCCAAACCACAGAAAAACCTGTCTTGAAAAACCAAAAAAAAAAAAAAAAAAAAAAAAAAAAAAAAAAAAAAAAAGAAAAAAGAAAAAAAGA